GCACAAAAACAGAAAAAAGTACATCTATGGTTCGGATCGTGCGTCGCTAGATAACAGGTTTGCATTTCTTCAGTGACCTAGAACTAAATAAAACAGCAACGAGAGCAAGCAATTGTAGCAGTAGCACCTCCGGTTACACTTACACTTCCACACTGCGGTATCGAGAACAAATTCTACCGGTCCGTGATGTCATTAACGTACATACAATCGTTCATAAATATCTTTAACACAATCGTCCATCAACATCTTTAACACAAATAACCATTCAATCGAGATGACATTGCCGTGAACAAACCACGGCACCACACTCACACGTAGCATGATGGTCACAAACACCCACATCATAGCTAGATGTAACACCAAAAAGAAACTCACAGTCTTGGAAGCAGTCTTCATCAGAGATAGAGACCCTCTCATAAACAGACAGATGGATATGAAAGGGTCACTCTCGCTCTATGATGGACGGCCCCTAGCACCAAGGTTTTAGGAAGGCTTAGGATCAGATATGAATGCAAATGAGAATGATTGTCATCTCGATTGAATGGTTATTTGTGTTAAAGATGTTGATGGACGATTGTGTTAAAGATATTTATGAACGATTGTATGTACGTTAATGACATCACGGACCGGTAGAATTTGTTCTCGATACCGCAGTGTGGAAGTGTAAGTGTAACCGGAGGTGCTACTGCTACAATTGCTTGCTCTCGTTGCTGTTTTATTTAGTTCTAGGTCACTGAAATAACCTGTTATCTAGCGACGCACGATCCGAACCATAGATGTACTTTTTTTCTGTTTTTGTGCCTTATATGCATGTCTGAAGATGTTAACGGATATGTTGACGAAACGTTACCTGGCAATATAGGCACTATTTTACATGAATTTTCCTTAGATGATCGAAAAACTGTGAGAAGCCTAGAGAATCTTGGCAAGAAGCAAAACAACGCCCGTTACGCTGTCATTTTCATTGAAACATATATATATATATATATATATATATATATATATATATATATATATATATATATATATATATATATATATATATATATATATATATATATATATATATATATATATATATATATATATATATCGGTTTGTGTGCAAACGGTGCAAGGTGCCCCAATTCGCTGCACCAAACATGGATTCTATCCCGAAATGGAAACACCCTCAGTATGTTTTTCAATAGAAAAACACAATTCTAAAGAATAGTGTTTGTCTAATGAAGAAACAACCTTCGGGTACGATGCGAGCGAGCTCCCACCTAGCACTTAAGTGTCAACGGATGTGTGTCAGATTTCAGCCAAGCATGCCCGTGTGACCAGCTGAGTCGCGGTTGCGGGCCATGGGAATCCCCGTCAGTCGCGCAATGGAGGCTGTCTCGCTTCAATGTCCAATGATGCAGGTTATATTGTGCAGCATCCTGCTTAATTGTGTACAGCTGTTTGTAAATGTTATCTCATGTATGTAATGACTGGTAATGACTGATGATCCAGGTGTCATTGACTTTGTATCTTTGACTTGTCCTTTTGAGTTTTTGGATTTTGGCTTTTTTTCTTGGGATTTTTCGTAAGTTGACTTTATGTCCTGTTGACTTTTCGTCTTTTGACCTTTGTCCTCTTCACTTCTTGTCCTTTTGACTTTTTGTCCCTTTGATTTTTTGTCCTTTTGACTTTTTGGACTTTGACTATATGTCTTTTTGACTTTTTGACCTTTTGACTTTTTATTTTGACTTCATGCCCGGTTGACTTGTTGTTTTTTGACTTTTTGTCCTTTTGACTTTCTGCCCTTTTGGTTTTTTGGATTTTGACTTTATGTCCTGTTCACTTTTTGTCTTTCTACTTTTGTCCTTTTTACTTTTTGGCAATTTGACTTTTTGTCGTTTTTACTTTTTGTCTTTTGACCTTATGTCCATTTGACTTTTTGTCTTTTGACTTCTATGCTAGTTGACTTTTTGTTCATTGACTTTTTGGCAATTTCACTTTTTATCTTTTGACGTTTTATCCTTTTTGACTTTTTGCCTTTTGACTTTCCTCTTTGTTGACCTTTTACCTGTTGACTTTTAAGATTTTTGACTTCTTTTTTGGATTTTGACTTTATGTCCTGTTCACTTTTTGTCTTTCTACTTTTGTCCTTTTTACTTTTTGGCAATTTGACTTTTTGTCGTTTTTACTTTTTGTCTTTTGACCTTATGTCCATTTGACTTTTTGTCTTTTGACTTCTATGCTAGTTGACTTTTTGTTCATTGACTTTTTGGCAATTTCACTTTTTATCTTTTGACGTTTTATCCTTTTTGACTTTTTGCCTTTTGACTTTCCTCTTTGTTGACCTTTTACCTGTTGACTTTTAAGATTTTTGACTTCTTGCTTTTGACGTAATGTCTGTTGACTAATCATCCTTTTACCTTTTATCTTTTTTTTTTTTTAATGTTTTTTTTTATATATCTTTATTTATTTCACATCTTTACGATTCAAAACAAATAAACGACACACTAGGAAAGAAACAAACAACACACATCGTCAGTCAGGCAGCGCCACAAGTAATGAGCAGTGGAGTGGCGGCAGGTGGCGCCGCTCGTCTCCAGCATGGGTCCAGATGGCGCCACGCATTGGCGGCAATAAGAAAGCCAACTTTAACTTAAAGAAAACATTAAACAGCACAAAAATCTAATAATAGTACGGGTAAACAGGATGCACGTTTATATGATGCCAGCTCATCGTCGACGGCAGCGCAGCCCGGGGCGGCGGGCAGAGTCAGACTGCCGGGAGCAGCTTCTGGCAAGGACACCGCCGGCAAACAGTTGACGATCGGGTTGAAAGCGCCGAGACTGCTGAAGCCATAATAAATGTTACGTTTAAGTTATACTACGTTGTACATGTGCGGAGTTGTGCAGCAATGATAGAGGGCACCACCCGCCCGCCACGGCCCCGCCGCCCGCGTGTCTCCCCCCATCACATCGCTCAAGGAAAGGGGAGGAAGTGAAAGCTAGGAAAAGGAAACAAATTATAAAAAAAAACTTGCTCGTTTGTGGTGTGGCCCGCCTGGCCAGGCCGGGACGATGCCGTCCACGGCCCTGGGGAGAGCTGGGGGATGCTTCCCCAGCCGGGGAGAGCTGTGGGTTACCTCCCCGGCGCTCCAGGCGGGCCATCAGCCACCGCCCGCGCCGCCCTGCGAAGACGTATCGCGGGCGGCGCCCCCTATCCACCGGCCGGGCGTGCGAGCCGTCGACTTGTAGGGCCGGCGCCCCGCACGCCCGGCCGGCCGACCGGCCCCAGTCAAAGAGGCCGGTCCCGGGTTGGCCCGGATGGGTCATGGGAGCGGTGGCTGATTATCACTTTTACCTTTTATCATTTGACTTTTTGTCCGGAACCCCCCCTATACAGCGTCGAAAACGCCTTTCTGGATCCGCCTATGACATCATCTCGACTGGGATCTTGCCCCCCCACGCCAAAATCGAATCCGCCGCCACTGAACTAGTGTGCCAGTAGATATCTTCGAAAAACAGCAGGGGTGTCCAAACACTGTCCGGCAAGGCCACCAATTAAGCACCAATTAACGAAATATCGTTTTATTGAATCCTTGACATTCATCAAAAGCTTCGATGTCTGGCTCTAATAGATCCTGGCTCCTAGTCGTGACGAATACGGAATAGTGCACATTTAATCAAAACAACTGCAACTGTGAACCACCTTATATATCTCTGAGGTCATCTTAGGTCATAAAAGGTCACTTTGGCGATGCCTCACTTGTGAAAGAACGCTAGATCGATGGCAGCGCCTTGAAAGTGTCCAGCTCGAAGATGCGCCATACAGATCGACTGATCCTTGAGTATTGGACCAAACTAAGTACCTATATGCCACGGCGTCGCGGAACGGAGCATTTAGCAGCCCTTTTCTAAGCATTTTTGCTGATGCGTCCTCAGAATGGATTTCAAGTCATGATTTGACTGGAGGTCAAATATGAAGCCATGATATTGACGTGACTCATCATGAATTATTTCACAGAGGGCAAAACTCGATACGATGCGTTTTCTAGTGGTAGCGTTTTTTTTCAACTAACAGTGAAAAAAACATAGAAAGCGACATTGATATAATATTACTCTTATGTTAAATACAATGTCTATGTATCTTTGATCAGGGATGCGGAGTCGGAGTCGGTCGGAGTCGACAGTTCTGCCCGGAGTCGGAGTCGGAGTCGGAGTCGCCAAAATCTTACCGACTCCGACTCCCGAGTCGAAGTTAACATTGCATGGCTCAACGTCATGCACTGCACCTGTTTGATTGACGATACTGCGCTAGAAATTAGATTTTGTCGAGATTTTTTTTTTGCTGTTATAGACAAACGTTTTCAGCGAAAGAAGCACTAAGCAGAAGACGGCGAATTCCCCACAACCTGCTTTGTAATTCTGCATGTTATTTGGATTGCATATTTGCCACGCAAAACCAATTGGAACGCACAAGGGATCGTTTCAGGCAAGATAAAAATATCTCCATTATGAACTTCAATACCATGAAATTGATTTTAATAGAACTGTCCGGAGTCGGAGTCGGCATTGGAGTCGGAGTCGATTTTTGAAGCCGGATTCGGAGTTGGAGTCGGAATCACCCTAAAATCCATCGACTCCGCAGCCCTGTCGTTGATACATAACTTAAACTACAGTTAATAGAGATATATGGTTACGTTACAACACATCCAATATGTTTCCAGCGCAGTAAACCTCAATCGAGTGAGCTTCAATCTGCTGAGGAAATTTCGGTGATCACTCTTTGTCAATCAAAGGCCACACCCATCGCCGTTACCTTCACAGGTTCGACCTTTTGACATCATTACTCTTTGTCCTTAGCTTTGGACAAAAAGATGTTTAGCTTTCTATCCGGCTTGGAAGAGACATGGGATACGGTTTGATGTGTTTTAATTAAGTTATGATGCAAAGCTGAAGAAGAAAGCTTGTAAGATAGAATTCCAATAAATAAAAAGACCTATTCTGGAAAATAATCCCATTCAACATGAATCTGTGGAATTATGACATAGGTATTCAATCACAACCTGTGGCTGCTGTGGATGCGAGTGTGAGGGCGGCGCCGGTGCCGGTGAAGCACCTTGGTCCGATCGGACAAGGTCGCTGTCCGTCACCGGCCGGATGGCCTACTATAAAAGCCAGCCGGCAACGGTAAGCGCTACTAGTACCCCGATAGACTCGGCAAGGTAAGGCGAGCGCGGCGCCTACGACGCGGCACCGGCACCGGCACCCGCCCTCCTGACTCCTTCCTTCGGTGGGCGATCGCAAAAAAACATTACTGCAACGATATTGAACTTTCGCTTAGCATGATGCTCTCGCCACCAGTCACTTTGATAACTTTCTTGCTCATGGGCTCAAAATTTTGCTGAGAGCTGACACTGCTGAATGATTACCTACCTATCTCATAGTGCAATTGGTTCTACATAAAGAATATGCATAGTTTAAAGCTTACCTGGCGTGTGTTCGGCGGACGACTTTCGGCGTTTGTCCTGCTTTGCTGATGTGGCCCTCGGACTCAGACATCTGCGAGTCTGAAACGTCCTCAATGGAAGCGAAAAGTCCTCAGTGATATTTCAGTGAGAGTGCCTGTGGCCAAAGTGCATCGCCGCCCTATGCGACTGTCTGTTTCTACTGTCTACAGGCATACATGCGGGCAGCGCTAAAATGTGACCCACCTCTAATCTTTCTTCGATGACTCTGCAACATAGTTGTATTGTAGCAGGAAATCATTTCACTTTGAGGACGCGGTATAGTCATTGGGAGCCCGAACCGACCGGTTGCTCTCAGGCCATCGGTTCTCCGTGTTACCCCTGTCGCTGTTGCCTGGATGTTACCGACATCGGTCTGCGTTTCCCCAGATGCGTTCCCTCTCGATGCTGTTGGCCGTCGCCCTGGTGGGCGTGGCGCTCTCACAGAACTTCCGCGGCTTCCGTCCGCCGCGGTTCTTCCGCAACTTTGGCCGCCAGGAGTTCCGTCCCCAGCAGCAGCAGTTCCGTCCCCAGCAGCAGCAGCAGTTCCGTCAGCAGCAGCAGCGGCCGCAGCAGCAGCAGACACAGACCGGTGAGGCGCGCTGCTCGGCTGGATGCTGAGCCGATTTAATCCTTTTTACATCGATTAAATTCATCGACGGGCGATAAGGTTGCCCGCGCCACTGCAAAGCGTGGTTTGTGAACAGTTTATGTTAGTAAACAGTTGGTCTGTTTGACGGCAACCTTGCTGGCTTTAATTATTAGCTTCTCTGGCGCATTGTCACTGCTCTCACGTATCTGGTACTTATCTGAGAAATGAAGCTAATTGTTTCGAACCATTCGGTCGCTTTCAATAAAATTAAAATGGTCAAAATTTGTTGCGCTTTAGACTGCTCTGGTTTGCGATCCCATGCCGGCATTAGACTTTGCAATACCTATCTTCAGCCCCGCTTTCGAAGTGTGCATGTTTGCTCGTTTTCTGAGCTGTCTCGTGTCTGACCCGTCAGGTGGCAACGGACTGTGGCTGTCGTGGGAGAACAAGCCCGGCAAGTTCACCTGGGGTGAGGCCGACGCCACCTGCCGCGGACTTGGTCTGCAGCTGGTCTCGCTCGACTCGCCCGGCAAGAACAACAACATCAACGGCCTGATCGGCTCCAACAGTAAGTGTACGGGTGATACCACATCCAGCCTCAACGAAAGGCGCAGGGCCGTGATCCAACAGTGCATTAATTAATGTAGAATGAGACACTTATGTTTAGGCAAAGCAAGTTGATAATGCACATGACTAAAAGGGTCGCATTGAAGCTGGGCAACATTGACTGAAATGCGATGATGTAGTTCTTTCCAAGGGATGCGCAGCTTTAATTCTTTTTCTTGAGTTGGCTCTTGCTACTTTATGATATAATAAATGGGAACCCTCTGGTACGACTTTTCTTAAAGATGCAATATGTAGCTCGCATACATTTTTGCACGATTCCTCTCTACCCGTGCACTCGTGTACAGTGTACACCCACTCCAAAATATTCACGTCCTTGTTTGCGCTCCAGATATCGAGTACATCTGGACCAGCGGCCGCAGGAGCGGCGGCAACAACTTCGTCTGGGGCAACGGCCAGCGGGTGGGCAACTACGGCTGGGGTCAGACGGGCGGCAACCGTCGTCCGCAGCCGGACAACCGCGCCGGCGGCGAGGACTGCCTGGCCGTGCTGAACCGCTTCTACCCGGGCGACGGCATCACCTGGCACGACGTGCAGTGCCACCACAAGAAGCCCTTCATCTGCGAATAGTGCCTCCGCACAGCGACGTGCGAATGCGCCGGCGACCACTCCGTGCCACCGGCTGACAACTCCGTGATATAGCCAATGCTGATCTGACCTCGTGTCGATATATTTTATTATTTATTATGCGGTCGTCTCGGTGATGTGCCGTTGACATATTTATGCAATGGCGGTAATAAATGGTATTTGTATGAATTATCCTAGTTTTCCAGATGTGTTGTGCGTCAGAGGTAAATGTGCTATACAAGCATTTCATCATTAGCCTTAGACTCGTAATAAAAACGCGCTTGATAGTGTATTATAATCAGGTTGAAGAAATTAAAGGAAACAAACAATTAACGTTTGAGACCATAATAGGTCTTGTTTGTAGGCCATGTTGAAAAACAGAGCTAATAATGCGAATAGCTAGGAAAATTGCATAAGCGCTGAAAGCATCAGGAGTTGAGGACTAGGACTGCCCTCACCATGGCCAGGGCCGCTGTGACGGCAGCCGCCCCTGTCCAATTGGCACTGGACGGCCAGTCAAATGACAAGCGGCGAGCCACCGACTGCCGAAATGGGCGGCGCCAAAAATCATCCGTACCTGGATGCCCTTCTGATTGAACCAGCCATTCCTTAGCCAACCATAAATAAACAATTTACCGTATTGACGCCTCTCAGTTGGATGAATATGTGAAAACTTCTCAATTGCTTAGCGGGATGCTTTTGCATGGTCGTACTGTATATCCTGAGAGGCATGCGCTCTGCATTCTTAATTTGTGAGAATAATTTTTTTCCATGAAAACTGATAATGTTCCTACTACTTACGCTATTCCTTTTCAAGAGTTTACGAAAATTCTAGGTTTCAACAAATAAGTATTGCGGGCTATATGTATAATAACAAACCCGGGATATCATGTCAAGCAAATTGAACGATATGCTAAAGATGACAAATCTTATTGGGCACACTTTACGTTCACAAAATGCATCATAATTATTGGAAGATAACCCGCGCCCGGCTGGGGGTCCTGGATTTCCACGCCCTGCTGGGGGGGGGGGGTGTTTGAACACCCCCCCCTTGTAACTCGGCTCCTGGGCCACGTAGCGATACGCGGAAGGCGGCGTTCGAAAGAGCGTAAAAAATGATGACGAAATCACTTCGGTCAATTTTTTGGTCAGGTCAAAGGTCAGGTCACCAGAGGTCATTGAAGGCAAAATTTCGCCGATTTCCAGGTCGAATATCGAAAATTTCCAAGAAGCCAACGCATAACTCGGGAACCAATAGAGCTACAGCGCTGCGGAAAAGCGCATTCGATAGCCCTATTAACGCCCTTTCTGAGTAATTCTCTCAGATTTGACCTAACGTCAACGGTTTTGCCTGCAGGAGGCAAAAACTGCAAAAATAGCCGATTTTTTCGAAAACAGTTTTTTCGGCAATAATTTTGACCCAAGCCTTGTACGAGCTTACTTTTACCGGCATCGTGTTCCTCTCGTCAAGACGCATCGAATGAACTATAACTTGACCTTGAAAGGTCAACTTGAAAATTTGACCTCAGGTCAAGGTCATGACCTGACCGGAAAGGGTCATGTTGCATATCAGTCGATCCGTATCTTCGAGCTACACACATCTAAGGCGTTTTCATCGCTCTAGCATGCCTCTATCAAAAGTTATTTGCGAAAAACTGTTAGATACCATTCGTGACCTAAGATGACCTCAGGGCATAAACAAGGGTCACGGACACCATTTTCATGTTCAGTGTGTCTAAACCACTTGTAATTCGGTGTTTGAGAGTGTTTATAATAGATATATATATTGAAAAATATATATCTATTATAAAATTATAATAGATATTTTAAATTAGTGTTTATAATGTCTTTCGTCCAAAAGAAGCGCATTTCAATTTTCTCCCATTGAATTATAATGGGGAGGTCGCAAAATTGACCTGACCTTAGGTCATCGATATCAAAATTCTGAGATATGCATTTTGTACATGCTCTTGCTCTTAGCAATCGCTGAAAGTTTCAAAGCGATCGGTCACTCGGTGTAGCTATGACAGACATTGAAACTTTTTATGAGGTGAGGTCACTTCAAGTGACCTGGTGACCTGACCTTGAATGACTTTGGTCTGAAATTTTCACAACATGTGTAGAATTGATGTATAATAAGGTGTACCAAAAACGGCGGCGCTCCGCGCCGCCGTTTTTGAGATATTCACGAAAAACCCCAAGGGTGGGTGTTCAAACACCCCCCCCCCCAGCAGGGCGCGGGATAAGCTTTCAGTTGCATTTACACATTAGAATAGTCTTGTTGACCAGTGAATCAACCGGTCACAAACTTACAACTGTAACCTTGGTCCGAAATTATATCATGTGAGCACATGATGACGGTGCCACACCGTAAAATTAATCTACGGTATTATTATTCTTACGTCGCGCCCGCTTTAGATTAACCCGCGCCCTGCTGGGGGGGGGTGTTTGAACACCCCCCCCTGTGGTTTTTCGCGAATATCTCAAAAACGGCGGCGCGGAGCGCCGCCGTTTTTGGTACACCTTATCATACATCAATTCTACACATGTTGTGAAAATTTCAGACCAAGGTCATTCAAGGTCAGGTCACCAGGTCACTTGAAGTGACCTCACCTCATAAAAACTTTCAATGTCTGTCATAGCTACATCGAGTGACCGATCGCTTTGAAACTTTCAGCGATTGCTAAGAGCAATAGCATGTACAAAATGTATATCTCAGAATTTTGATATCGATGACCTAAGGTCAGGTCAATTTTGCGACCTCCCCATTATAAGTCAATGGGAGAAAATTGAAATGCGCCTCTTTTGGATGAAAGACGTTATAAACACTCCCAAACACCGAATTACAAGTGGTTTAGACACACTGAACTTGAAAATGGTGTCCGTGACCCTTGTTTATGCCCTGAGGTCATCTTAGGTCACGAATGGTATCTAACAGTTTTTCGCAAATAACTTTTGATAGAGGCATGCTAGAGCGATGAAAACGCCTTAGATGTGTTCAGCTCGACGATACGGATCGACTGATATGCAACATGACCCTTTCCGGTCAGGTCATGACCTTGACCTGAGGTCAAATTTTCAAGTTGACCTTTCAAGGTCAAGTTATAGTTCAATCGATGCGTCTTGACGAGAGGAACACGATGCCGGTAAAAGTAAGCTCGTACAATGCTTGGGTCAAAAGTTATTGCAGAAAAACTGTTTTCGAAAAAATCGGCTATTTTTGCAGTTTTTGCCCCCTGCAGGCAAAACCGTTGACGTTAGGTCAAATCTGAGAGAATTACTCAGAAAGGGCGTTAATAGGGCTATCGAATGCGCTTTTCCGCGGCGCTGTAGCTCTATTGGTTCCCGAGTTATGCGTTGGCTTCTTGGAAATTTTCGACATTTGACCTGGAAATCGGCCAAATTTTGCCTTCAATGACCTCTGGTGACCTGACCTTTGACCTAACCAAAAAATTGACCGAAGTGATTTCGTCATTATTTTTTACGCTCTTTCGAACGCCGCCTTCCGCGTATCGCTACGTGGCCCAGGAGCCGAGTTACAAGGGGGGGTGTTCAAACACCCCCCCCCCCAGCAGGGCGTGGAAATCCAGGACCCCCAGCAGGGCGCGGGTTAAGCATACCTACCCATAATCGGATTGGTAGTAAAGGTGTTCCGTCTTTGCGTCCGGTTAGGTACTCTATGCACGTTGTTACACAAGACACCGTTATTTTACAGGTAAATGCCTACTGGGGCATTCCACGTCAAATCTAACACCGAAATCCGTCATCCCCTTCGATTTTTCTGAAAATTTGTAGGCAGACTGGGCATGGTTCAAAACTGAGTTACGTGTAATATTTTCGAAATTTGATAACGTATCGCCGAGATATAGGTCATCGAATATAGCCAAAAATGCCACACATCATTTTTTTAAATGCTTATAACTCTGGTTCCTTTTCTGGTATCAAAATGATATTAACAGGGTCTTGCAGGCAATTGATAAGGCTTTGATTTTTAATTATAAAATTAAATTGAAGTGACCTTGAAATGCATTTGACCTTGAATTAAAACAGAAAAATTTAAATAGCAAAAAACACGCCGCCTTCCATTTTAGTAATTTTTACATATTATGTCCGTCACAATGTTCCTAACCATCTGTGAAAAAATTGGAGTGGGCCATTCATAACTTTCGCGGCAAACGCCGTTTTCATGCATCAGCATCACGCAACCGCGCGTGACCTTGAAAGACAGTCAAGACATGCTTGCTTGTGTACACTTTCTGAAATGAATGATTGCTGATTAGTGATATCCCAAACTCTGCGAGAATGGAAGTGCATAGTCATCGTAGTCAAACATTCACGTTCCATTGTAAAAGTGTCTCAGGCAAACGGTATTTTGCGGTGAATTTTGAGCCGTGTGGAAATGCATCATGAAATAAATTCAACGAAAACATTATCACGCAACGATATCTTCGTCTTTTGATCTTCACTATACGAAAGAACATACATTTTTGAGTATGTATGGGGAATTTCTAGTTAATCCGATAATAAATATGGCAGTTAGAGTCCTGCTAAGAGTAACATGTCACCGGCTGATGCGGGATCGGCCGACGACGCGGGAAACGCAGCAGTCACAATTTTGTGTTTACACGTTCATATTTCAATTGTTTACCAACCTATTTTCAGAATTCTTTCACCATAAGATTGCCTGTACATTTCTTAGTCTTCTCACAAAATTTGACGCGAATCGAACGTAATCAGCGGTAAGGAGCGCGATGTAAAGACGGAACCGTTCCGTTCCGTCCCGGCACAGTCTACAATTCAGGCGGCGCGTAGCGGTCGGCGCCGGCTGCCGAGTCGCCGCGTCGCCGCGGATGTTCACTTTACACCGCTATTACTAGAACAGTTGTGAACCGATTTTCTTATTGCTTGCACGATGAGATGTGCAATTCAATTCTGGACAGGTAGCCATAAGTAATTTCGCATCAATATTATGAGATATTGGCGAAAAACAGGAGGGGTGGGGCGAAATTCACTCTTCCCCCTCCACTGCGCGTGCTAACATACGTTTGCATATGTGCCATTTTCTTCAAAACTTATGAATGGCCCACTCTAATTTTTTCACAGGTTGTTAAGAATATGGTAGGCAATAAAATATATGAAAATGAGCCAAATCGAAGGTGGCGTGTTTTTTGCTATTTCAAGTTTTGTGCT